ACCCAGGTAAGAACAGTTGGTCTCAGATAGAGACATGTTATCCCATCTCATCCACTTTCCTGTCCTCAGCAGGAAATCATAGCCATAAAGTCAAATTTCTTGTCTTTCAAAGGGAATCAATTCACGCAGCATTTTATGGCATCCTAAGTGCATGTTAATGGAGGAATGCTCAGCCTTGAGTGTTGGTCTGTAGCACAAGGTTCAGTCATGACGCAGTGGGTCCACACCAGGCTAGGAAGACTGAGGTTGATTACCTGACTGCTCGTTATTACCATCTTGCAAGAAAAAAACAAACAAACAAACTCAGATTGCTAAACTAAAGACTTAGTACAACCATTACTATAAATTCTATTTAATACTATTTGAGAAGAATACATTTTACCCATGCAAAGCTGACCCTGTCATTTGTAAATGCACAGGCAGTCTATAAGTTATGAACACAGTGTTCTAAAACTGTCCTTTTGAAGTTGGTTGTTTGGATCCTGAGATATATTTTCCCATAGAAATAGTGTTTTACATGATAATTATATTCTCTGGTCAAATCTGAAAATCCTTTTCAACCCAGCATGTTGCTAAACTGAAATTATCAAGCATTTGGTACAGAGTGTGCCTTGAAAATCAGAAGACAACTCTGAAAGTGGCTTTGCCAAAGCAAAAAAAAAAAAAACACAAAAGTGTGAAAGTGTTAGTCACTCAGTCCTGTCTGACTCTTTGCAACCCCATGGACTGTGGCCCACCAGGCTCCTCTGTCCATGGGATTCTCCAGGCGAGAAAACTGGAGTGGGCTGCCAGTTCCTTCATGACCCAGGGATGGAATCTGAGTCTCCTGCATTGCAGGCAGATTCTTTACAACCTGAGCCACCAAAGAAGCCCTACTGCCAAAGAAAAGTGTTCCTTTATTGCTATTACTATCTGAGTTTCCCTTCTAAAGTCTGTATTTTTTATCTTTGCTTCTAACCCATAGCTACCCTCTAGAATAGTTTCATGGCCTTGACCCAGATATTAAGCTGGTTCCTGACCCTGGTTTGTGATGTATTGGAGCCAGTTTGTACCAGTTCATAACAGCTAATTTTTAAATATTCAGGAATTTTTTCATTCCAGTTGCTTTACATGGCCAACATTAAATATTAATTATCTATGCTTACAATTCAGTTCAGTTCAGTTGTTCAGTCATGTCTGACTCTTGAGGACCCCATGGACTGCAGCACGTCAGACCTCCCTATCCATCACCAACTCCTGGAGTTCACCCAAACTAATGTCCATTGAGTCGGTGAGTCCATCCAACCATCTCATCCTCTGTCATCCCCTTCTTCTCCTGCCTTCAATGTTTTCCAGTCTCAGGGTCTTTTCAAATGAGTCAGCTCTTTGCATCAGGTGGCCCAAGTATTGGAGTTTCAGCTTCAGCATCAGTCCTTCCAATTAAATGATATTAAATAAAAAGTGCTTACAATTAAGTTATATTAAAAATAAAGATAATAAATGGTTGGAACTCACTAGCTCTTCATTATTTTACTACATTTTACTAGGACCTATTCTCTTGAGGTTGTTGATGTACTGTTGCCTGCATAGTGGACACATTATACAGTGGTGTGGTCCTCCACCAATCTCTGCAACTCCAGGGACAGTCACATGTGTTGGGAGCTTGAAATCAACACTGATGGGGAAATGTACACTGGGATCATCAGAAAACACTACGAATCAAGGATTGGTTTCTTTGATTGTTGATTGGTAGGCGAGAGAGAGAGAGAGAGAGAGAGAGAGAGAGAGAGAGAGAGAGAGAGAGAGAGAGAGGTTGATTATTTTTAAATATTTCTTTATTTTTGTCTGTGCTGGATCTTCATTGCCGGGCTCGGTCTTTCTTACTTGCGGCGAGCAGGCCTACTCTATAGCGGGTACGTGCGCTTCTCACTGCGGAGGCTTCTCCTGTTGTGGAGCGAGGCAGCCTCCAGGGCGCACAGGCTTCAGTAGTTGTGGTGCCTGGACTCGGCTGCTCTGCACCGTGTGGGATCTTCCCAGGCCTGAGATCGGACCCCTCTTTCCTGCATTGGCAGGGGGACTGTGTACCACTGAGCCACCCCAGAAGCCTGAGACAGGTTGATTTTAAAGACTCAGCTGACACCCTTGTAGAGGCTTCGTAAGACCAAAATCTACACAGTAGGTGGGCAGTCTGGAGACCCGAGGACAGGTCCACAAGATGCAGCCTGGCAGAATCCCTCCTTTCTCGAGAAGGTCCGTTTTTGTTTCTATTAAGGACTTTAACTAATAAGATGATACCCACGCACAGTACAGAGGGTGATCTTTTACGCAAAGTCCACCGATTTAAATGATAACCTCATCCAAAAAAAAAAATCTTCATAGAAATATCCAGAATAAAGACTTCCCTGGTGGTACAGTGGAGAAGAACTCACTGGCCGATGCTGAGGACGTGGGTTCAATCCGCGGTCTGGGAAGTTTTCACAGGCTGCGGGGCAACGAAACCCACGTGCTGCGAGTACGGAGCCCGCATGTCGCAAGGACTGAAGCCCGGGCGCCGAGAGCCGGGGCTGTACCGCGGGAGGCCACCGCGGCGAGGGCGCGCGCACGGCGGGGAGGGCAGCCCGGCTCGCCACAACCAGAGAAAGCCTGGGTACAGTGATCGAGACCCAGCCAACCAAAAAGGAAGAAACATGTCGATAAGTAAGTAACAAAAAAAGAATTATCTAGAATAAAGTTGATCAACTATCTGACTGTCATGGCCCACACAAGTTGACATATAAAGTTAACTACATGCATAACACACACACACGTCTTTTCCTTGAAGTGCCACTTAAACATCACCAGAGCGCATGGCTGGGGCCCACACTCCCGGTTGTCCGTCTGTTTCATCAAGCTGCTCGGCTTCCTACTACTGCTTCCGAGGTACAGCTGGAAGGTAGATGAAGTGCCTCCCTGTGTTGCACGTGTGCTAAGACACTGCGGTTGTGTCTGACTCTGCAACGCCATGGACGGTAGCCCTCCGGGCTCCTCTGTCCATGGGATTCTCCAGGGAAGAATGCTGGAGTCGGCTGCCATGTCTTCCTCCAGGCGATCTTCCCCACCCAGGGATCAAACCCACATCTCTTAAGCCTCCTGCATTGGTTGGTGAGTTCTTTACCACTAGCCCCACTTGTCCCAGGGTACTTAATTCACTGCACTGTGACTATGGATGCAGTGGCTGGGTCTGGGTGGAACTGATACATGGACCAAAGAAAGAGGGGAGGAACTTTCTGCAGAACTCAGTGACCTTCTGAGGTGAGCTGCCTGCATCTAACATCCCTCCAACCTCCTCTCTGACCGTCACCCTCTCTCACAGCCTCCCTGAGACTAGCTCTATCCTGTTTTCTTTCTGAAGAGATAGGGCCTTTGGTAGACGTGTGATCAATGACTCAGAAAACCCCAGCAATGCTCACACTTTTGAGCTTAGTGTTGTTCAATTGTAGAATGCTTCCTTGTCTGTATCGAATTGGAGTGACTCTATACAAAGAAATGGAAACATGGACAGTTGATACATACCTATTGAGGGAACTCCCTCTGGTTTACCTTTGGCAAGAACCATAAATTGATGAGACCTGAGTTCAAATGCATGATTAGCACTGGCTCTGAATAAGCGCATCTAATGATGAGTTGCATCTGTATTTTTCAACAGTGCTTCCTACATAATGGTATTAACTTAATATTGAGCTGTGGTCATGATTGGAGCCACAGTGTCCCTACGGGCCCCTTCCAGCATATTCTTTCATTTGTATGTGTGGGCCACCTGGCTAGAACGTCTGTCACCCCATTTGATGCCAGACTTTTTCAAAAGACTTGGCAAGGCCTCTTTCCTCTCCTCACCTCTCCAAGGATGTCCCTCTGGAAGCAGCATTTATTGATTTATTTCCATGGATGTTTCATGTTGCTCCACAGCACTCCCCACTGGAGGAAAGAAATGGTCCCCACCCTCTGCGCAGGGGGCGGGGGGTGGGGCTCACATAAAAATTGCATTTAGGGGAAACTTTCATGAGGACAAGATTTTAACTCAGGTTGTTGTAGTTTGTAGATTCTCAATTGCAGCATGACAGTCTATTGCATGTATTGAAATGTGATGAAATACGTTTAATTTTGTGGATGATCTTAACTACCAAGCTTGTTTCTGAGTGTGCCCTTCAGCTGTCTCATACCAATATCCTGACGTTTTGGAAGTCATTCAAGGAACCATAGCTGCACTGTGTAATGAAACAGTTTATAAAAGTGATTTTGTGGAATGAAGAGACAATACTTGTGGCTGAGAATTTAGGAGAGCAAAAAACAACAGCAAAAGCTAAAACCTTAAAGTCTTAGAAGTTGAGCAGATTGACAGATGCTTTAGAAATAAACATAAAAACGAAATTCTAGTTTTTAAAAAACATTTTTATAACAGTTATATATCAGCAGCTTCGTGGGAGGGAGACAAAAATTGACAACACAGATGGCATTTGCTCTCCTGCAAGTTGTTTAGGGGCAAAACAGTGTGATAAAAGCAAAAATAAAATAAGTAATGAATGACAATCATTCAGCAAGGGGAGCAGGAACATTTTAAAACAGCTACAAAATGGTTAAAGTTTGGTACAGGCTCTGATGATTTCTACATAGAAAATGTACAGAAAAGATACTTCTAAAATGGCTATCTTTTTCTTTATCACTCAGAACAATATAATATAGGAAATTGAAGAGACAGAAAAAAGTATAACGAATAAATTGCTAAAATGACTTAAAATGTTGCTTTTAAAAATTATAACAGAATGTTTCCAGATGGATGACATATTTCAAGTGAAAGCATATTATTAATATATTATAAAATAACAAGCATTTAGTGAAGAAAATTACATCACAATGAATAAAATTACTTATAACATAAAGTGATTAAATGATTAAAAATTAACTCCTCTTCCTTTTTTTCCCCTCTTATTCAGACTCAATAATTACTCCTTCTGTTTTTGAAGTGATCATCTCCTCACCATCTTTCATCCCAGGTAATTCTTCCTCCAGGTAATTCTTCTTCCTTACAATGGAGGAAGATGTAAAAAAATTTGCATCAAGAATAACAGTTAAAAATTGTCTAACTTGAAAAATGTTCATTAGGTAGTAAAATAAAGATCTGGAATTGACGAAAGTGAGCTAGTATGGACCTTTAGATTTGCAAGTGATTAGAGAAGAACATTTTATATTGGTCTATACGGCCGAGAGCAAGAGAGGAAAAGTGTCAAGGAAGAAAGATATGAACCACGAACATTTAATGAAGGACAGTGGAAGGGGAGTCTTTCGGAGGAGATGGAGAAAGTAAGAGAAAAAAGAGGAGATGAAGATAGAGAATGCGGGGGGGGAGCGGGGGGCACATTTTAAGAAAGAGGGTGTGTTCCCAGTGGTCCAGTGAGATCCAAATATGCCAAGGAGTGCTCGGTTCTGAGATCTGAACATTGGGTGATGCAGTCACAAACTTAGCAGTAATTTCTTCAAAGACTTTTCAACGTGACTGTAGCAAAAGAAGGTAGAACTGAGGACTGAGGAGTGAATGGAGACCAATGAAAACAATGTGTCCAGCCCCTTTTTTTCAGGAAGGTTGGCTGAAATGACAAAATAAAAAAATGACAGGCAAGGGTGGGCTTGTAAGGAGGACAGATGTCAGTGAGGCTGCTGCTGCTGCTGAGTCGCTTCAGTCGTGTCCGACCCTGTGCGACCCCGCAGACGGCAGCTCACCAGGCTCCCCTGTCCCTGGGATTCTCCAGGCAAGAACACTGGAGTGGGTTGCCATTTCCTTCTCCAGTGCATGAAAGTGAAAAGTGAAAGTGAAGTCGCTCAGTCGTGTCCAACTCTTAGCGACCCCATGGATTGCAGCCCACCAGGCTCCCCCGCCCCTGGGATTCTCCAGGCAAGAACACTGGAGTGGGGTGCCATTGCCTTCTCCAATGCATGAAAGTGAAAAGTGAAAGTGAAGTCGCTCAGTCGTGTCCGACTCTTAGCGACCCCATGGACTGCAGCCCACCAGGCTCCTCCGTCCGTGGGATTTTCCAGGCAAGAGTACTGGAGTGGGGTGCCATTGCCTTCTCCACATCAGTGAGGACGGGGTCTTAAAGCTGGACTTGTGTTTCAGATCATCCAAGACCTCAAACTGATCGCAAAATAGCAGAGGGTGAGTCTTGCCACGGGGAGATGCCCTGAGTCAAGCCTCTGAGGCGCGGCAGGGGCAGGTGTGCGCTCTGACCCGACCACCCGCCTCCAGCCAAGCCCCTGATCAAACAGAAACGCCTGCAGGATGGCGCTCCAGCTCCCCTCCCAGGCCGCTGGCCGAGGCCGCGGGCCTGCAGAGACTCAGGGAGCAGCGATCTCCTCCAAGAGAGCAGACGGCGAGAGGCCCCGGGGCCTCCCTGGGAGACACGCTGAGGACGCTTCTGTGCGAGCGACCCGGGCGGCCCCGAGGACAGGCCTCTGGCACGGAAGGCCGCCTGCAGGGAAGCACCCGAAGGGGCGCCAAGCAGGAGGCCTGCATGACCCGCAGCCCCGCCGATGTCCAGCGAGAGGCGCGTGTCCGTGGGTCGGCCTGACAGGACAGACAACAGGTCCGGAGCGCCGTGGGGCCCGCCTTAGAGCCGATCCGCGAAGGGCAGGGAGCCCTGGGCAGCGAGACTGGGAGTGAGGCCCGGCCGCCTGGCCTGCACAGGAACTGCTGCCCATCAGGTCTTGGGAGATTATCGGAGCAAACCCTTCCCTCCCGCATTTTTCCATGTCTGCAGGCCAAACGAAATGCACTTTACAATGGTGGTGATCAGAGAGAACTTGGAGGCTTCTTAACTTTCCCCTACAGGGAAGGCACATTCCTGGGAGAGAACTGGAGAGATTCCAGGCGGAAACATGCAAAAATCAAGTAGCGGTGCGGAGCAGGAGGGAGTCTTTTTGTTTTTTCCTCATGTCATCTTGTGTTGATTCTCAGGTCGTCCGTGCCATTCCCTAGGGCTGGCGTGACACACGGCCACAGGCTGAGTAGCTGAAAGACCAGAAGTGGATGGTCTCAGTTCTGGAGGCCAGAAGTCTGTGATGGGGGTGTCCTCGGAGGGTCCCAGGGGAGGGCCTGTCCAGCCTCTGTCCTGCTCTCTGGGGTCCTCTGGTGTGTAAGTCTTCACGGGCAACTCCGTGAGTGTCTGTCTGAGGCTCTGCCCGCCTTTTTTTATTTTTGTTTTATTTTCTAAAAATTGTTATTGAAATACAGTCGATTTACAATGTGTTAGTTTCAGGTGTACAGTAAAGTGATTAGTTTATATGTATATGCACACACACGCACATACGCAGCTTTGCAGGTGGCACTAGAGGCACAGAACCCACCTGCCAATGCAGGAGACCAGGAGACTCAAGTGTGATCGCCAGGTTGGGACGATCCCCGGAAGGAGGGCACGATGACCCACTCCAGCATCCTCGCCTGGAGAATCCCGTGGACAGAGGAGCCCGGTGGGCTGCCGCGCACGGGTGAGCACACAGTGGGGACACCAGGAGGCAGGACTAGGAGGAGGTTGCGTTAGGGCTCACCTACCGCGGCTGCAGCAGGGAGTCCTCAGTGAGCGAGTGGTCCCCACCCTGACTGACTTGTCTGTTTCCCTCGTTTGTCTATAATAAATGTGAGTAAATACCGCCACTGACTGCTAGCCACAGTCATGTCAGCTGTACTGATCAAGGTGGGAAGGAGAAACACAACATGAACGGCACTTGCTGCAAACCTCCCTTAAAGACAAAGCCAGGGCGTCCCTGCTGGCTCAGTGGTGAAGCACATGCCTGCCAATGCAGGAGGCGCGGGTCCGACCCCTGGTCTGGGACGGTCCCACATGCCGTGGAGCAGCTAAGCCCGTGGATCCGAGGGCCCGTGCTCTGCCTCAGGAGCAGCTGCCGCGGGAGAGCCCCGAGCCCCGCCACGAGAGAGCGGAGAAAGCCAGTGCATGTAGCAGTGAAGACGCAGCACAGCAAAAACCAAGTAAAATCACGCAAAGGACTTATTAAGGAGAGAACCCCCAAACAAAAGTAACCAAGCAGAATGGTCAATCACGGTGAGCTTGTAAGTCATAAAAACCCATTTTGAACAAAAACTTAATTGCATTCAGAGGATAAAAATTAGGCATCAATGAGGCCACTATGCATATAAAATAGAAAGCCCACCAAGTATTCGTGCCCCTCATTTAACCCTATCATTTAGGCAATTTCTAGAGGCAGTTCCTCTGCACTGTTCATAGGCAACAATGGACATTAACTGGAATTCCCCAAGTAGGGAATTCCTGGGAATTCCAGGGAAGGCCTGGGTGCATGCTGTTCTAACCCTGCTGCTCGGAAAGCATGGGGCAGTAACATGGACACAGAGGTGGGAGAGGAAAAGACGAGTCCATCTGTACATCTGGAAGCACAAATACAAGAAAAGGGTGTGGACTGGTCAAACATCCTTTCATCAGAAGGGTCTCCCCACCAAATTGATTAAAATACTTCCCCCCTTCTTCCACGTTTCAAGCCCCTCACCCTGTCTATTTTTTCCCGAAAGTCCTTATGGCACAGGACACTGTCTTATGTGGTTGTTTATCATCTTTCCTTTTAACAGGAAGGTAAACGAGGCAAGCACGGGTTACATCTGTCTCACTTGTATGTATCTAGTGCTTAGAACAGAATCCAGCACACAGGAAACATAAATGTTTGCTGAGGACGTGAATGCTGTGACTTCAGAGCAACAGCGAGGATCCAGCTAGTGTTCCACCTAAGTGGCTCAATCAAGCTTGAAATCAAGATGAGAGGCCTTGAAATCTCCTAATTATCTGAGTAACATGTTGCAACGAGGTGATATTCTATTATCAATATTAAGAAGTGGTATACATGTAAAATTCTAAAGACAATAACTTTCTGTTAACTTTAAATCTATACTAATTTCCCAAATTCAGTATCCCATAGAAGGATTATCTGTCATTGGTGTGATTTAACAAAGGTCCACTCTGTGGGCTTAACAGAGGTTGGAAATAGAGATCTAAGCTGATCTTAACATATTGAATCAAAATAATACTATCAACGGCAGCAAAGATTTTGGTTTCCATATGGGCAGGTAAAATATCTATTTTAATTCAACTGTAATATATTCGGTATCTATTCATTTCAAGAGTGACTGCAATTTACTTTAAAGATTAAGTACTGACTTCCCTGGTGTTCCGGTGGTTAAAAACCTGCCTGCTAATGCAGGGGACATGGGTTCAAACCCTGGTCCGTGAAGATTCCACATGCCACGGAGCGAGTAAGCCCATGGGCCTCAACTACTGAACGCTGTGCCCCGAGAGCCTGTGGTCTGCAACGAGAGAAGGCACCCCAAGGAGAAACCCGTGCCCCAAGGAGAAACCCGCGCCCCGAGGAGAAATCCGCACCCCACAGCTAGAGAGGAGCCCCCGTCACCACAATGACGAGAACGCCGTGTGCAGCAGAAAGCCCCAGGGAGCTCAAAACCAAGTACAAATTTTAAAGAGTGATGTATGGATGCCTGTTTCACGGGGTGGGAGTTAGTCTGAATAAAGCACGAATAAAAACTGGAAAACACCTAGGATAGCCCTTTATCTTAATTCTGAAGATGGGAGAAGCTAAGGTTTTAGAGAGGGAGGGAGATGGTGGCCCACATTTCTCAGACCCTGCAGTCTACAGCCTTGAAAACCTACGGCATCAGGGATATGCTGGTTTGGCGTGGAAGTCTCACCGGAAAAAGCAACAGTGATTGACTGCCTCAGGGTTGCCCGCAAAAATTCCTCACGGAATCTCTCAGGATGTAGCTACTCAGAAACCCCATTGTCAACATGCACTCTTACCCCTCACTCAGTGCTGACCCGTCTGTGCTCCGCTCTGGTCAGATTTAAAACTACTGTCATCCTTACTGATTTACTCTGGCAAAACTGTTGGGACTCTCAGCGTTGACTTCTTTCAAAATACACTTGAATAAGTATCAAGATTAAGCTGTGGTGGTTTTCTTCCATGGCAAGTGCTATTTATATTCAAAGGAGCTAG